GCACAATGCAGCTCCAGCTCAGCACCTCAGGGGAGGATGGCTTGGAGGCCAGACCTCAGGAGGCAGCACAACCTGTCCTGCCACACACAGCCTGCCCTTCCCCTGTTCCTACATCCACACCCCCAGTTATATTATATTATATTATATAAATACATTATTCACCAAGGTAAGAAATAAAAGGAAATCAGCGCTATGCAAAACGAGTAAAAGTGCGAAATTCTTTTACTCCAAGCACTGCTCAACGAGAGCAGCAAAAGTTCAAGTTTACAATGAAGAGCCACCAGTCTAGCTGACAGAAAACTAGATTTATGAGAGAGACCAGCTGGTCTGCAACCCCAGTTACAGCTACCTTAATTGCTTTTCTCCAGAGGAAAATTTTCCTTTACAAGTTGCCCACCTTTAGGAATTGCTGAGCCCACTGCATGGGCTTAGAAGGCAGCAGCAAGAGGGATATCTTCTTCCACATGACACTTGGGAGGAAAATACCAGACAAACTGTGTGGGATCACAAGGTGGGTCCCCTGCAAGTATTTTCCCATATTGGAGGTATATTTCCCCTTGGCTCCGCCAGAGCCAAAATTACAACAATGAAAATAATTTTTAAAAATGCTACTCTGAGTTTCAATTTGCATTTGTGTGCACATTTGTATGTACATACAACTTGAATTTTCATTATACTTGTGTAAATCATGTATACATAAATTAAATTATATAACATATGCTTTATGTGCATTTATTTATATAAAGTAGTCCTCCGTATTACTAAGCAGAATTTTAACAAAACATTAACTTTCAAAATGCAATCCACTTATACTTCCTAATTTATGTTTGTACTGCAGCAGATCTGTAAACCTTTCCTGTGGACATGCAGTGATCATATCAAAAACACTGCTTGAGGCTGGTTACATTGGCCAATTATACTGTTTTATTACTTCCTTTTTTCTGTAAGATTGGGCACCGAAAACACATCAATTAATTACGCTCCTGCTTTTTCTCAATAAAGAGCCTTTCAGGAACAAGATTAGATATGCCTTCCACGCTGAAATGTAATTTTAAATTACCCTTTTCAGTTCGCTTCTCGCTTCCAGTGTGTGATGTATGGGGCACAGCTCCATTTGTTTGCTGTTCCTACCGGAGTTTGAAAACTCTGGAGGAAAGACAACCCACATTTTTAAAAACAACTTTCTAGAAATCTGTCACGGAGGAGAAATGTGCTGGGTGGAAGGCGTTCAGTGGGTGCACATGAGAGGGAGCCAGGGGAGTAAAAAGTGGAATATTAAAGCCCAGGAAGGGACACAAAGCACGGAAACACAGCAGCAAAGGCAAGTTAAGGTCTTGAGGCTGGAGAGGGCTCTTTCAGGCAGAGCCAAGGCAGGCTGGGATGAAACACAGAAACCAAGGTGTTATCCCCCTGCTGCACAATGAGACAGGGTTAATATGGGCCACTGCAACTTAAAAGATTCTCACACTCCCACAAATATGGAAGCAAGAGCATTTGCGGGAAAAGTGTACAGGACTGGTGTGGGCGTTACAGATGCCGTTTGTGCTTCAGGAGGAAAAGAAGTCTCTCAAGCTCATGACCAGATTTTTTTCTGTCCCTTCTTCAGTAAAGTCAGGCATATTCAGACCAATCTAATATTGTGGCAGTTATTATGATGGGATGAATGCAATATTTTGACTTCACCATGATGTGAAAAAGAATCAAATTTACTATCAATAACTATTTTGTTGTTGTTTTTTTTTTCTATAAACAGGATCATTATCAAAAAGTAAAAAATAAACATGTTTAATAAAAATGAGCGGTGAGACTGTCCCTGGTTGTCTAGGAAATGCAGTAAATTACTTTTCAAAGTAGCCACAGGATCAGACAATAGACATTATAGTCTGAATTACTCTGTAATGCCATAAAAAAAAAAATGGAGCTGGGAATAATTTTGTGACAACTCCTTTGTAGAGATTCCACAGTAGTTGATGGAGAAACAATAGGGGTTTCATCATTATTTTCCATAGTTCCTGGAAAAGCTGTAGCCATTCAGCCTGCAAATACCACATGTACATGCAAATGTGTGAGACACATGCACACACAAATATTTGGGTACAATATGGACAGCAGTGACTGAAAGTTAAACCTGTGTGTTCTTCGACTTGAGCTTTCAAAGACCTCCCAAGGAGAACGTGAATATTATATGCTATGGACTATCTCACCTGAAACTGGAAAGATTCTGCTACATAGAAAAAAACATAACCTTTGCTCACCAAAAAAAAAAAAAAAAAAAAAAAAAAAAAAAAAAAAAAAAAAAAAAAAAAAAAAAAAAAAAAAAAAAAAAAAAAAAAAAAAAAAAAAAAAAAAAAAAAAAAAAAAAAAAAAAAAAAAAAAAAAAAAGGCAGAATCTGAGTTTCATTAGATTCTCTAAGCTAGCCACAATTTCAGATACTAAATTTGCTAGGAGTTCATTTTAGAGCAACAGTAACAATTTCATACTTGGTGTCAAAGCTTGTTTAATATTTGTATCAATCAGTAGCGCAGATATGAACTTTGACTGTCATCTGGTTCTGCTCATCTTTAGATGTTCTCATCAATGTATGACCATAGTCTTTATATAAACATTCCTATGCTGGCCAGATGACTGTGAAAATTCTTTCATCAAAACAACGTTACATTGGAGTGCACAGGTGATAACAAAGCCTCTCCTAGTGACAGCAAAACATTTCAGAAATCCAGCCTGTTCATCCAAACACCATATTGTACCACCCCTGAGTATATCTCAGTCTTAAAGATTTGTCTGCTTACTTCAAAAATAGCCCCACAATCTGATTTTTCTGTGTATTAAACCCTTCAGTGAAACCCCTGTAAACAAAGACACAGAACCAGGGCAGACATTCTGAACATGAAAACAACAGCGTGACACTTCAAAATCTCCAGGAACATCATCATTTTAGCCTAAAAGCACCCACTGTTGCTCCACATACAAAGCAGCAGAATGAATACATTACAAGTCATATATTAAGCATCACAGAGATTCTCAGTGTTCCATGAAGGCATTGAGTCACACTAAAAGGTAACATTTAGGTATTATCTTTTATGCTAATGATGGAGTATTACTCATTCATCAGCTCTTTCCAGAGATCTTGCTATGAATATTCAGCTCTTGATTACAATAACGAATCCCAGGCACTCTGCAAAGCTTAGCAATGTGGTGTAGTAGTACCACTGTCACACAGATTAACCAAAGGGAACATGGCTACAGTACCACGCATGTCACTCAGAACCACCCAGTGATGGGACAGATCAAACTCAACCTGCACTTCATGGAGGATTCAAAGTAGCTTTAGGAACAGAAATGTCCATCAACTTCAAAATCTGAAATCTGTCAGGAGGGACATGGGAACATATTCTTTCCTTCCTTGGACTCAAATATCAAGAAGTCTGTGCCATACATTTTCCTTGTGCATTAAGTTAAAGAATTGAAAGGCTTCCTGATATGAAAATTTAAATCTGTCTGTGGTTCAAATCTGAATCGTTTCTATGAACACTTTGGTCCAGTGAAATTCTGGTAAACTGTTTTTATTAAGGACAGCTACTTAATGCTTGCATTTGTCGTGTTAGTCTGCAGTGGAGTGGACACAGTGGTCCCTGTAGAGGACAAGCTATGGAAGTAATGGTAAATGTCACATGCAAAACAACTACCAACAGCATAAATAAATCCACAGTTCTGTTCAGCGTTTGCATTCAACCTCACAACCATAGACTTATGAGCCACCAGTTGAATAACACATTCATTTGCAACTTTGCTATAACTGACGACTTTTTGAAATCAGATTTGCTTAAAAGGGGTCATAACACGGATATAGATAAGAAGTGTTTCTGGTCACACCACCAAACAAAAGGGATATGCAGTAAGAGCACCACATCCTGCACAGGATGTCACAACTGACACTAACACAGCAGTGGGAAAGACCAGCACTGATCAAAACCATTCACACCGTGAAACAGAGTATCCTGATCGCTCCTAGGAGGGAGTAGAGCTGGTCCTGCTGCTGCACAGAATGCATTTCCAGCATAGAAGAAAGGAAGGAGAGGATACCTACAGCATTAGCTCATCTTTAGCAGTTCAGAGTAAGGAAGCAATATCTCTATTCCACCCATTTGTTAATTTTCTCCTGAATGCTGTACTGGCTGAAAAGTGACTGGGAGGAATGGAAAGAGAAAATGTAGACTCAGACACAAACAGAAGCTTTGGGCAATACATTATATCATCCTGGGTACAATTTTTACTGTTGGATGATATTCCCTTGCTGTGGAGTTTCAGGACCATGCAGTATCCTTTTCAACAATTTCTGTTCTTCACTCCTTTGTTAAGGAGGACC